GTACATCGTGTGTTGGAAGGAGAGGAGAGGATTGTTTGGAAAAGTGTTTCAAAGCCCACAGGATTCTCATTACTGTCTTTTCAACTTCAGTACAACGGTTAGCACCAACATCACAAGACGCCCCAAAGATGGGCATTTAATAATAGATTGCATGAAAAGGTAAGAACATTAAAAGAGACTATGACTATCTACACATTTTCAGCGTTCATTTGAACTCTGCCGAAAAATCAACGGAGTAGATTACAACTACTAAGGGTCACCGTCACCACCACATCGACCCAATGTAACATCATCCTTCAAGGAAAGGGCCACCAAACGACTCATGATACACCTCCCACTTCAGACCCAACCTTGGGCATTTCCAAAGCACAAAGGCTTGTCGCCATAAATACTAGCTCCCCATTTTAACAATATGCATGTGCGCTTCACTTTTAACTTCCCTGTTGTATCTAATCCTTGTCTTCCTCTTGATCTCTAGTAACTGTGCTGGGTCCATCATCGAATCCACCACCTGGAGCAAGCTCATTCAAATCCAAGAACCGGCGTTTCCTTGAGTTACCGGCTTCTTGTGAGGTGGGGCTACGAATTGACTCATTTTCTTGGGTTTCTGATATGCTCTCTCTGGGTTTTAGAATGATGGGTTCATTAAAATTCTTGTTCTCATCCTCCTCGCTTCCCATAGAGTCATCCTCTAGAGGGGGGCGGTTATTATTGCTTCCATCATCAGAATGAATACTAGCAGACTTGTCAATCTTTCTCGACTCAGTTTCGGAGTCAGAAAGCTCATATTGTCTGTAATCAATGCGAGTTCGTGTGGCCCTTAAACTACGTCTCAGACCCGACTGTTGCTTCTGTATTTCACCAACAGATCTCAGTTTCATACCCCTGCGCCTTTTGGACCATGTTTGATCAGAGTTCCTAGAAAGCCTGTTGGATTTTATGTCAAGTTCTCCACTGCTACTTAAAGAATCAACGTCTTCTTCATCTTCTTCCTCTTCCTCTTCCTCATCAGCATTTTCTTCATCCCATTTGTATTCTTCGTCGCCTTCAGAACTGCTGCTCGAGGCTGCCCTTTTATGTTTTCGGGTGCGAAGGTACTCCTCATCATAGATTGCCTCCCCCACTATCTCTTCATCACTGTCAAAATCCGCCTCATTATCCGAGACAGCTTCTACAAACTCTCTCTCTGAATACCGTTGTGGCCGTCTCCTCTGCCGATTGCTGTAATTTCATAAAATTTAAACATTAATTTTTTCAGTGGTGGCAATTCAGATGGGGTACTGATTTGCCTCATTGGACAAGATTGTACCTGCGATCCAGGGGACCAAAGTTCTGTTCAACATCTGTATCTTCATCATCCGTTGACCTTGGGGACAAGGTATCGTTTGAAGCATTCTGTAGAGGGACATGTAAAGAACCCCCATTTACTTTACCGTTAGTTGAAGTTTCAGGCTTCCTGACCACTTCTTTCCTTGGAACAGGCTCAGGAGTAGGTTGCCCTTTCCTAAAACATTAACATGGCATCAAAACTTAGAGAAGAACACCAGCAGAAAATTAGACTTAGTATAATTGCACTCAATGCTATGAAGAGAAAATCCAACATGGAAATTTTCAAAAATGCCAAGGAGAATTCTTACTTGGTAATTTTGATTGCCTCATTGATGGACCGATCATAGTCATCTGCGATACCAGAAAGAGCCAAAAGATAAGCTAAGTTCAAAGTTCTATACTTCACAAGTTCTAACTAGCAAATCGCATTTAAATTAATTAATTATGAACTCATATAGAGGTAGGCTACCAGTAGGTTTTAAAAAAATTAAAAAATAAAAAAAAATTGGAAACTACAACGTACACACGCACGCATGCATGCACATGGGCATGCATATGAACACAAAAAAATACACAAACATGCGCACGTGTGCACACACAAAACACGACACACATACACAGACAGATGCAGACAGAGAGCGAGAGCGAGAGAGAGAGAGAGAGATTATCCATCAAACACTAGGACAGATATATATATATATATATATATATATATATATATATATATAGAGAGAGAGAGAGAGAGAGAGAGAGTTAAATTATCCATCAAGCACTAGGATAGGTAGCATCCACAATGCAGAAAAAGAAATGAGGAGTAGTACATTTAAAAGACATCCACTTAACTAGAGAGAAGAGAAATACAAAATCTTTTCTTTTTTTTTCCTTTTTTGGTAACTTGGATTTTATTAATGTAGAATCATGTAAATCTTATAACTCTGTGATAGAATCAGAGTTCCGGGGTCGCAAGATTGATCTAAAAACTGATACTGATGCAAGAACTCCGTCCTACGTACTCCCGATTTGGCACACAAAAATTACCTGTATAACTAAAGATCTATCACAAATTTCATTGAAATATTTGGTCATCCTCCATGGGACCTTTGAATCACCTTTTGCCTGAGCTATAACATTAGTTGAATCCCTTAGAAGATGATTGAATCCGACATGGTTTCAGGACACAATCTCCTGAGAGGAGGGAGATGGCATCTGCTCCATTGGAATCGACAACCCCAACAAAACTGCAGAATGCGATGAGAACTTCACCACTACGATCTTGAAACATCCATCCCACACCTGAAGGACCTGAGTTTCCTAAACAACTACCATCAATTCAACTGATGGTCCCTTTGGCCAGAGGTTCCAAGCACCTGATCTTCCATCTCATTGAGACTTGAGAATCTATGATATTGAGGAAATCTGAGAATGAGCAGCCCGAAAATTCTCTTTTGAAAAGTGCCCATGAGATACACGTAGACCCTGATCTTCTTTGTGCTTGAAGCACCTATAAACAAGTTCAATGGTCCTCTTCTTCCTTTTGATCCAAATGGAAGATGGCCATCATGGAAAGCCTCCACAATATTAGGGCTTCCCAAGGAATCTCTGGGGTGAACCATTCTCTGAAGGGAGCCTCAAAATTGCTCAGTGCAACCCATGTAAACTCAAATGATTTCTTGCTGCAATGCAATATGAGATGACTAACAATTTCTTGAACTTCCTGACACATGATGTATATGTCAGATACTGGCATGCTTTTGTGCTGAATGTGGTCAATGGCAAGGACTTCATCCACATGAAAAGTTTGTTAAAGTTCCATGCCCTCCTCACTGTTCTGGGGTGTAGTGCAGATTCCACCAACTAGCAATAAAATGACTTGACTGTGAATTTGCCCTTTCCATACAGACTCTGAATTATCACATCCTCCATGTTTCTAGGAGTTGCAGCTTCATAAGTAACTGCATGAACCCACAGAACTCTTCAGCCTTGCAGCCTCTGAGATTTCATCCAAGTCTGCGGCATTATGTTCCTTGAAGCTCTCAGTAACAGAGGATTCATTATGACAGAGTTGTGGAAAGGACTCTGCTACTGTACCAGGCCAACCCAAGATCTTTCCAAAACCTAATCCTATGCACATTTCCTATTTTGAACTGAATAAAACTGTAAATTTGATTTCTAGCAGAGTACATTTTTGCACATACCTGGGAGTTTGATTGCCATGGTCTGTTGTTCTAATGGTCATCCATTTTCCTGAGAATCATATTTCTGGTCTATGATGGTTGCCCACAAGTGCTGACCTCCTTGCTCATATCTTCATGGCCACCTTGTTTTAAGGAAATATTTCATTGTATTAATGAATATATAATTATACATCATCATCCAAGCCTTATCCCAATTATTTAGGGGGTCGACTACATGAATCTTGCTCCTCCATTCTTCCCTATCAAGGGCTAAAAATTAATATGTAAATGTACATATCACCAAAATGACTGACTCCACCATTGCTGGTTGATGAGAAAGGAGGATTGTGTTAGGTACGCAGCCAACAGAAAACTTTCCACATCCCCAACATAAATCATGATCAAACAGTATATGATAACATCATCAAAATGACTGCCCAAAAGTCAGGAGCTCCGTATAAACGTGCTAAACCATGGGAGAGAGTAGTCCCTCAGAAAACTGGAGTGGGAGAACAAAAATGGCAGCTCTCGAGAGGGGCTCCTACACATCTCCGTTCGATCAGAAAATCAGTCCACAGATAGATTCCATAGCTACTTTCCCAACAGTGCTATGATGAATTCCTCGATTTTCTTGATCCGCTGACCACCATAGCTTTTATTTGGCGCAACGAGTTCCATTTAACTAAATGAAATTCCTGCTGGTTTATCGAACCCTTACAAAGGAATTCTCACAACATTTGATAGATTTTGTGAAGCAACTTCATTGGCATATTGAATAAAGACATAACACCCTGGTACGTTGGCTTGATCAAAGTTATTCGACCGACAATTATTATGAAATACTTAGAAACTTTTCTACGATTGTAACCCATAGTGCCATTCATGGTTTTCCAATGCAAAGCCAGCCCCAACTACTTGTGTGGTAGTGATTCAGCTTTGCAACCCACTCTTTTTGGCAGGGTCCGATGGTCTGTAACATCTCTTGCTCCACCCTAACACCCTTTAAGATGGTTGTTGTCATATTAATTGGGAGGCCTCATGCCAATTCAAAGCATTTGCAAAAAATAACTACAATGCATCAACTTGCTGCTCTGATGGGTCACAGAAAATCAGGGCATCATCCGGGTATTGTAAGTTGGAGATTCTTGGGAATACACCACCTCTGTGATTTTTTTTTTTGAGAAATGTTGACTTTTGTATTGCTATAGGGAGATAGATTACAGTTTAGGTTTTGATCCAAGAGTACCCTCTAGATGGGACTCTTGGTAAAAAATAGGTCAACAGACCCTGTACCAAAAAATGGGCTTATAAGAATGCCCCCTTACAAAGTTTACAAGGAAGTTGCAAAAAAAAAAAAAAGGCTTATAATACCACCTCTGTGAATTCTTGCATTACATTGCAGTATTGTATCATTTCCATCATTCGACTCAATGATGGTGAATAAGAATGGCGACAGAGGGTTCCGCTGTCCAATCCTCTACTTGAAAGGAAGAAGCCACAGGGAGTACAGAGAAGGAGGCCATGAATATCCAAGCAGGTATCTAGGCCCTCCATATTTCCCCAAAAACTCATCTTCTCTTCAATATTATCCAATATCTCCCATTGGACATGGTCATAAGCTTTCTCCAAATCAAGCTTACCAATCTGGCAGGTTTTTGTGGTATTGCATCAGGCATCTACATGTTCATTCACTATCATGGCCCATCCAAGATCTCTCTCCTCAACAAAGACGAATTGTGCAGAGGATATGACACTAAGGAGGACCTTATGAAGCCTTGAAGCAAGCACCTTGTCTACATGATATTGTAGGCACTGTTGACGAGGCTTATGGGCCAGAAATCCTTGCAATTTTCGGCCCCTTTAAATCTCAAAATCAAGGTGATATGGGTAGCATTCATCCCCTTCTGAATGATTGATTTGTTATGGGATCTATTAATCATAACCATCACGTCATCCCCAAATAGATCCCAGAACTCCTGCAAGAATCTTTCTAATTGAAAAGCAGCTTTCCTGATTTCTTTCTCATTGACTCCAGCCAATCCTTTTGGTTTTGAGACAATCCATTAAACCCCACTGTGGTTGGGATGAGAATAGCTTCCTAAAGAAGTGGATAATTGCTTCCTGTATCCCTTCTTTCTCATCATATTGTTTCCCATAGACTTTGATTCTTTAGATCAGGTTGTTGTGTCTATGAGGGCTGTTGGGCTGTTTTCTGAAAAACATCTTGTCCCCCCCCCCCCCCTTCCAGCCACTTCACTCCAGCCCACTTCCAAAAGATCTTTCCCTTTAACAAGTTCACGGAATTCAGATTTTGCCTCAGATCTGCATGCCTTTCTTTGGTAACAAGATGTTATGTTTCTTTTATGTGATCCCAATTCTGTATTTCTCCTAATATCATGACCCTCTTGTTTATTGTATGTCCCAATACTTCACTATTCCATACAGATAATCTCTACTTGGAGTATAGCTTAAAACCAGCCATTGTGAAATCTAGTAAGATTGCCACCAACTGGAATGTCTTTCACCTCCCACCGCATTAATTTGAAAAAAAAAAGGTCTGGGTCCACCTAAAAAATTAGGTATATATCTAGGATACTTGGTACGTCTGGCTGACTGGGAATGATTTTCAAAGGGCATTTGGGCGGGGCTTCCCAGTCTGGGTATACAACTATTGGTCCAGTTTGGTTAGAATTGGATCTTCAGAATGGTTTGACCAAGTAAATAGGGCTCCATAAAGAGGCATGTTTAAAAAGCAGTCTGTTCCGCAAAAACTCTTCCATGGTGGACATGATCCTATCTCTGTTTTTCTTATAGCTTTGTAAAGGTACATTGGAATCAACCCTAATACACCATGGCAAGGCCAAAGTTCATATAGGATCCAGTTCCTTAAAAAATTCTTCTCTTTGATTGAGCTTGTTTAGTCCGCAAACTGCACTCTAGATCCATTTGAAGCCTGATGCCATCTCTCCAAAACTAACCGGAATGGAGAAATGCCCCTTTATGTCTGTTCTTTATCAAGGTAGTTTGTATTCCATACAACCCACATGCCACCTGACACACCAGATGAGGGCAAGGCCACCCACTGAGCAAGTTTTCTTTCCGATATCCCTTGAATCTAGGTTTAGGAAGGTTCATCATTCCCATTTCCACAATAGGAGAAAATCAGAATCTATCCCA